GTGAAGCTAGAAAGATGGAGAGGACATGGGGAGAGAGCTGCATGCGATAGCAAAGGATAGAACGACTTGGCGTGAGTTGGTGGAGGGCCTGTGCTCCACTGGGACCTAGATTAGCAAAAGAAGAATGTTCAAATATCTATGTATTGCATCACTAACTCTCCGTTAACAGGATTCCTAGTCAGAGGCATCGGAAGATATGAGCTCTGAATACTATAGTACGATATAGTTGTAGCTGTTGCTTTTATCCGCCTGTCTGTCTGTGTTTTCAAGTCTTCTTCTTCTTCTTCTTCTTCACTTCCTCTTTTACCGCTGTGGGTGTCGAGGGAGATATAAGGTTCTGTTTCTAGCTCTTCTGGCTGCCTCGACCATAGGCACATCGTGCTGTTGTAGAGTTTCTCTGATGTTATCCTTCCATCTTGTTTTTGGTCTACCCCGTGCTCTACGTCCTTCTTCTCTTCCCATGTATGCTTTGTATGGTATGGTGTCACAAGGCATTCTCTCTAAGTGGGCAAACCATTTTACTTGCTGTCTTTGTATGTAATCCAGAATTGGTTCTGTGCCGACTTGTTCTCTTATGATCTCATTTCTGATCTTATCTCTTATGGTCACTCCTACAGCCCTTCTCAGACATCTCATTTCCGTGGTTACTAATTTTCTTTGTTTTCAAGTCTGCCGTGTGCATTTATCATGTGTGTTTTGTTGGCTTTGCCGAGAAGATAAGTAGGTAGGTAAGCTGTATCCCACATGCGATAAACACCCGGTGCCACAAAGTGCCACCACGCGGATGAGGATCACATGTAGAGAGGTCCCGGAAACCTCGTTTAGCCTTTAGGGCATATTTAAGGCCCAGCTATTTTTAGGACCCCCGGCAAAAGTCAGATTGTGGCTTCAAAACAACTAAAATTTGCATACCACATAGAGAAAACGCTATATGATTTGCCGAGAATGTAATCTGTGTGTTATATTACAGGGGACACTATCCCAATATAGGACATAATTTGTCGTTAAATTTAAAGCCCCACCACGGCTGTTCTCGGAGGGCCCTAATATAACCTAACGATTGAACGGGGTTTCTAGGACGTTCTAGGAGAATTCTAATCCGAATAATAGCACTTTGTGTCACCAGGTGTTTATCGCTCGTTGTGCAGTCCTGGTGGGATTGACTGTCCTTCCATTGGAGGGGCTGCTTGGTCTCGAGGCATGGTGTTCCGTGCTCATTACCCGGTAAGGGCGGGGATTTTTTCACGTGGACTTGGACTTCTAGTAATTCTCTCTGGTCTTTGGGTAGTGTGATCGGACGCCCGTGTGCATTGTTGCGCACCTAAAAAATCCTTCGCAGTTGGAAATCGAAAAGAGTAGCCTAACGGCGCTGCCCGGGCAAAATTTGGAGTTTAAAATCTACCCAAAGCATTTCAGGATCCATGCCGATGTTACAGAGCCTGTGCACTGGGCGGAGTTTCTTCGGACTCAGGCTTGAGTTAAAAGAAGAACGGAGCACTTAATGGTTACACCCGTGTGCCATGATGTTGATCCGTTTTTCAAAACCTCAAAAACCCTCTCGGGATGAGGGATGGAAATTGTGTGCGATTGTCTTTGGCACGTGAGCAGAGCCGTTTTGCCGTGACGCTGGGACTGCTAATAGCTGATTTGATACAAATGATATTTAGGGCTATCTATTCATGGAATGTTTCCCATTGTTGTTGTTATACTACAGTGTAATTCAAAAGTAAATTTACATACACGCCATTGCAGGCATTGTTATTTGTGAAAATACAAGCTATTTTTATATTTACATAACCTGACTCCTGCAAACGTATTAGGAACTTTCTCATAAATAATATCCTGTTGTACATTAAGTGTTATAATTGGGATAAATATCGTTTAGTCTATTTTAACAGGAGGACCAGCACAGAGAAAACACTGGGGGGGGGGGGGGGGGGGTGTTGTGAATTTGTGTCCTGTTTGCAAGGTTTCGATTTGCAATGCCAAAGAAGGTTTTCAGAATTTGCATGAAGCAACAACAACAACAACAACAACAACAACAACAAAAAGAACGAAAAAAAGAAACATTGACATCCTACATGATTCTAACATCAAGGGGAACTGGCTCGTAAACAGCATCCTCTCCCGAAAGCCGGTGTATTTTGGACATGTCAAGTGCCACGATGGTCTGGAGAGAACGGTGGTGGAGGGAGCAGGTTCTGGAAAACGAGGTGGAGGCTGACCTCCGCGATAGTGGATACAAGACATTGGAGACACACTCGCTGCGAAGGCTCACATGGCTAACAAATTAGCTAGAGGCAGAGAGACCTTTAAGCTTGCTGTAAAGAGAGCGACGTTCTGTAAAGGACAAGGCAATGGATGGTGATGATCCTTTTTGCATCTTATGGTCTGTGATTAGAATTGGTGCTATGCAAGGAGTTTTTCTATGTGGCATCGTGGTTTCACATAGGAATGCTTACAATTCCTTAGACAGTCAAAACGAGTAATCCAGATGATTTGAAACAGAAGAGGCTCTGTCGACAACTTATCACAAATATCAGAAGGACAAAGTCGTCACCCCCACCCCCTTTTTCCATGTTATGAGAAGAATGGAACTGGAACATATTGTGACCACTGGAAAGATTTGTGGAAACAAGAGGTAGAAGCAGAAAATGCGGGAAGATTAAATGTATCCACGACATGGAGGTGACAGCCATCAAATCTAGCCACTCCTGTGACAGAGTGCGCACATCTCTTGAAAATGGCTTTGTTTTCACTTTGGGCACTTCAACACCTAGAGGACTGAACTGTCAACACAGTTTCATCCAAAATCCAAGGGGATCAAACTGCCCACAGAGTTTTATCTAAAACCCTCTAGTTACGGCCCCTGGAACTCACCGGGGGTATTTATTCTCCAGTCCCACGTGTCTCGTCAGTCTACTGACACGACATCAACCTGGCTGCTTCGAGATACTAGGCTAAGTGATTTTGTGTATTTGTGTAATATTAGTTTTATTTATGTAAGTGCTGATGAAGGCTCCATATCCGTAACGTTCACGTTTTGTTTGTGTTCGTTATTTTGTGAAGCTTGCTGATATACTTTCCGTTCGGTTTTTATATCCTATCTTGATATGAAGATTGTTGACAGCATGGAGGGGTGTTAGGACAATAACTGATATATGGAGATCGCTGGTTGTGAAGAGTTATGATAGCCCACGCCAGCAGGCAAGGCACTTAATGAGCATAAGGATAAGGCTGATGACGGTAATGCATACGCGCTTTAAAATAGATTGATTGTTATGGAATTTAAGTCCTTTGTTTAGATGTTGAACACCATTGTCATTCAGCATAGTATTATTGTTATGTTTCACATCGTCAATAATAAAATGCTGAACGGAAGATAAATAAATAAATACGACACTATATCATCGTCATTATGATAATCATGATGACACTATCATCATTGAAAAGTATTACCTACAAAATTTCCGATTTCCATCACAGATTTGATATGTCAGAGCCCTCAAACAAATCATCGCCAGCCAGAACACCAGAATCTGTTCCTTACGCAACTGTTACATTTCACTACACGATGTCAGATGGTACGCCTGCTACTTTAAAAGTAAGTGTTTTTTTTTTTCTTTCAGAAATTGCACTGGAATCTTGGCACTAAGATTAGGGCGGATGGGGGGGGGGGGGGGAGTATTTAGGGCACAAAGATGCCCCCTGTAACCAGTTAAATAAATTATCTTTAAAAGTATGTAAGTATTTGTTTGTGCATTTCATTTTATGGATGCGAGAGCTGGAAATCAACGAAAACTCTAGACACAAAATTAGACAGTTTTGAAAATAAATGCCTTAGAAGAATACAAATGGTCAGATTTCCGAACCAATACACAAATAAGGCAAGAATCCAGGCAAGAGTATGTGTCTAATTTTATACGAAAACGCCGCTGGAACTATGTCGGCCACGCCCTTAGAATGGATAAATCAAGACTTCCTTACCAAGCCCTCATTTGTACACCACAGGGGAAAAGATCTCGTGGAAGACCAAGGGAAACCCTACGTAGAACTATCATCAGGGAAGGCTCACTCATGGGCCACTCAAACATCCAAGACCTACAACAGATTGCAACGAACCGCCATGCATGGAGAGTCATGACCTCTGCCCTATGTGCCGCACTCGACACAAGAGGAAAGACTAACTAACTAACTAACTAATTTCATTTTATTTCAAGTATAGTGTCGTATTTATTTATCTCCCATTTAGCATATTATTATTGATGATGAAATAATAATAATAATAATAATAATAATAATAATAATAATAATAATAATAATAATAATAATAATAATAATGTGCTGAACGACAAATAAATATAATAATATACCTGGAACATAAGCACCAGAATCTGAAGACGCAGGTACTTTGTGCAAGCCCTTCAAAAATTAAAACGAAAGATTGGATTGGATTGGATTTTTTACCCCACCAGGACATCACACAAGCGATAAACACCCGATGACACAAAGTGCCACCATGCGGATGAGGATCACCGTGGAGAGGTCCCAGAAACCGCGTTCAGACATTTGGCCATAATGATGACCTGCCTATATTGCGGCCCCTGGCAAAAGCCAGAGTGGGGCTTCAAATAACAAAAAATAACGTCCTAAGAAGGACGAAAAGCAAGCAGTAAACGAAAGATTATTCTGACACTATAATTTTTAAGGAACGCCCTTTCCCCCATCATGTATAGACGTTTTCTTTTTAAGCATTTGTTTAAACATTTCATTTTATTTCCAATGTATTTGTTTTTAATCCGCTATTCAGAAAAAAAGTAACAATAATAATGATAAATATTATTTTTATTGTTTTTATTATTGGGCAATTATGTGGCAGTGTGGACCGAGATATGTAAAGACACATGGGCACTTACGCCTCCTGGCAGGAAACAGGATTATGATAATGTTGATGGAGGTGAAAAAATAATCCAAAGTTTACTGATAAATGCATGCTTTAAAATTTGTGAACCAGAAAGAAAAAACGTAAGCACATGCAAATTGTTTCCTCTATTTTTTGTTTCATTTTTTATATACGTACATTTTCAGAGCAATGATTGTCTTCGGAATGCTACAATAGACGGACTCAAAGAACAGTTTGTGACAACGGTATGTTCATTTTAAGTCTTTAACTTTTATCAGGACAAAGTAGGGGATTGCTAGGTGTGGGCGAAGTATGGTGTGGCCTCGTGCCACGGGACCGCTACGGTAGCCATGAAGGCCACCCTGGGTCACCCCGAAACGTCCTGGCCAACAGGGCTCTGGTGAAGTTGCGACAGGCCAACAAGCTGGCAATGGATGTATTACCGCTACAGAAATCAAAATGAGATATAAACGGACTGATCAAACGGTATCTATAAACAAGCATCCTGGGAACGTTTCGGTGAGTCACTAGCAGAAAATGAGAAAACAGCCAGCAGAAAATTTTTCAAAGTAGTTAAAAATATGCGGAAAAGAGATGAGAGCTACAACCCCACTGAAATAATAAATGATAAGACAGAAAGGCCATTGATAGATCCACCTGAGATAGCAGAAAGATGGAGGGAATACTTCAATGAGCTCTTTAATCCTCTAGGAGATCATCGGGAAAGATCAACTGAAGAGCACAGAGCAACAGTGTTAGAAACACACATACTAATGGATGACATAGAAAAAGTCATTAAACAGTCTCCCAAATATAAAGCACCAGGAGCTGATAGATTACCAACAGAAATAATTCAAGCAGCAGGTGAAAGCAGCATCAGATGGCTTTACAGAATATTCAATGCAGTATGGGTACAACAAACGGCCCCTATTGATTGGCAACATGCAATAGTTATACCATTGTGGAAGAACAAAGGAAGCAAACGAGAATGCGGTCAATATCGAGGCATCTCTCTTTTAAGCCATGTTGGCAAAATGTATGCCAAGATAATAGAAACAAGACTGAGACCAGTGATAGAACCACAGCTGGCAGAAGAACAGATGGGATTTAGGAGAAATAGAAGCTGCACAGATGCAATCTTCACACTTAAACAGTTCATAGAAAAGAACATTGAATACAATTAGAACTTATTTGTGGCATTCGTAGACCAGGAGAAGGCATTTGACAGACAATTATTATGGAAGATAATGGCAAGATATGGAGTAAGCGAACACCTCATTGAAGTGTGCAAAAGTTTATACAGGGATTGTAGAAGTGTAGTTAGAATAAATCAGGGAACATCTCATCCTTTCACAGTGACATCTGGAGTAAGACAGGGGTGTGTCTTATCACCACTGCTGTTTATCACCTACATCGACAGTATATGCAAGAATGCTAAGCCTATGAATGAAGATCTTAGTAAGATCAACGAATTACTCTTTGCAGATGACCAGGCCTTGATAGCAGATACAGCCATGAAATTGCAACAACATCTAACATCCATGAATGAAGAATGTAAAACAAATAATATGAGAATCAACACTGAAAAGACAGAAGTAATGTCAATAGGAAAAAAGAAGACAGATCTAAACATAGCAATAGAATGCAAAGGCATTAAACAGGCATCTGAGTTTAAATATCTGGGAACTACATTTACCGAAGATGGGAAATTGGATAAAGAAATTGACATTAGATGCAGTAAAGCAAACCAAGTATTGGGACAGCTAGCCCCCCTCTTACAGCATAAGACAATCCCAATCAGCACAAAGAGACATCTTATTCAAAGCATATTTATTCCAACTCTGTGCTACCAGTGCCAGACATGGTCACTCACAACAAACCATAAAAGAAAATTAGTAACCACGGAAATGAGATGTCTGAGAAGGGCTGTAGGAGTGACCATAAGAGATAAGATCAGGAATGAGATCATAAGAGAACAAGTCGGCACAGAACCAATTCTGGATTACATACAAAGACAGCAAGTGAAATGGTTTGCCCACTTAGAGAGAATGCCTTGTGACACCATACCATACAAAGCATACATGGAAAGAGAAGAAGGACATAGAGCACGGGGTAGACCAAGAACAAGATGGAAGGATAACATCAGAGAAACTCTACAACAGCACGATGTGCCTATGTTCGAGGCAGCCAGAAGAGATAGAAACAGAACCTTATATCTCCCTCGACACCCACAGCGGTAAAAGAGGAAGTGAAGAAGAAGAAGAAGAACTTTTATCTATATTTTACAATTACTATAAATAAGGCTACACAGGAAGCAGCCTAATAAGTCTATCCCCCATGTGTGCCGCCATGTTAGGGCCGGGGGCCCTAATATAACTCAGCCTGTGGGTTTCTGAGACCTGTCACGAGTGATCCTATCCTACTGGTGGCACTTTGTGTCACCGAATGTTTATCGCTCGTTGTGTTGTCCTGGTGAGGTTGAAAGTGATTCAATCAATAAGGGAGCAGCCTTCGTGCCTGACAGACTGACCATCGTACGTTGCAATCTCTTTTGCGGCGAAGATATTTTAAAGTTTGGATTTCACCTAGATTTGCAG